TCCTGAGGATATGGAAGGACCTCAGGGAGTGGTTTCTCCAGATGTCTGCCATTTGCTTTTGTCAGGCAGAGTTCCCCAAAGGGTTGTGCTGGGTGAAATGCACATCTGTCTCCCCATGTCTGCAGAGAGAACAGAGGTGAGAGGGAACCTCATCATGAGGAGGTGGCTCTGGGGTCACAGATGCCAGAGTCTCACATCTGGATGGAGGTTCTCCGGAGACCAGTGAGCTGCTGATGCGGCAGTTGGATGCACTCGCTGACTCTCCATGACCTTAGTTCATCCCATATGAGGACATGAGAGGCCTGAAGTTGCCCCAGGAAGCCTATGCCTTCTAGTGTCCCCAGAGGACACCCTCTGCCCCAGTCTCCAGGGATTTGGCATAGATTATTCTCATGGGAAACAAGGTTTTCAGTAGAGGAAGATATAGGTGTGTGTGACAGTGTAGGGCAGAGAAGTCTTTGTCATTCGAGATGTAGAGACATTGGGGAATGAATTAGAGAATGATTCTCTTGCTGATAATTAAATGCTCAGCATATTCTCGGTGTGATCTATATCTACAGAATGGCATGCCCCAAACTAATCAGACAGCCAACAAGTGGAATTAAGTTGGCTAGAGAGCCTTGCATCAGTTGTATGGCAAAGTTGGATTAACAGATTAGCAATCACCAGTCAGGAACAACTGGATTGCAAAGTCAGACCGACATTGTGATTGCCAGCTTTGGAGCCGAGGACTACTGAATTCAAGACAAATTAGTGACCATGCTAATATACCTTTAGTGAAATTGCTATTTAAACCATATTGATTCAGTTTAATGATGATTTTATGTATATATGTGTATATGCTTGCAAAGTCTTTAGAGATATTCTTACTCCCCAAATATGGGAGCATTGCACAAAATGAGGAGTTCTTAGGTGATGCCTGATTTGAGTCACTAAAGAAATTAACTTCCTTCCACCCCTGGCTTCAGAGAATCCTCAGACTGGATTAGACCAACTGATCAAAATCGCTAGAGATTTTACCAGGGCCTTAAAATAATCTGTAGGGATTATTTTGCAAGAAATTTGAAAGTCAAGGTGAAATGGTTGGTTTTCTTATTCACTGTAAGTGATGAGCACTGGCTATGGTCAGGTAACTGCCATAGGCCAGAGACACAAGTTTTCATACACCTGCTTATAAAACCACCATCTTGTGATTCATAAATTCTACCTGAGATTTTATGAACTGACAATTGTATGTTATTTAAACTTTCCTCAAGTGACAAACATCATTGTCTTTTAGTTACTTCAGAACTGGGTAAATTTAGCAGAAAAAGGTCATCTCACTTAAGACTGAGAAAATATTTTAAAAATACAAGCTAATTCCATCTATTTAGATGTGGAATATGAGTGACTTTGCTTTATAAATGAAGTATTGCTTCAATAGTAAGATCTTGGTTGTAATAATGCATGAATTGAGCATATTAGAGAAAACTAACTATATCGTTAGATAATGGAAAACCTTGATATAGTATAATAGCCATTTCTGACAATATTTCAAATGAATTACAAGTGGCATAAATGGATGCAGCATCTGGAAGATTCTAGAAAATGCCCCTGACATGGATAGGAGTCTAGTCTAGGAGGGAGCTTAGCTGTGGAGCACCTGAGAAACCTAGCACTGCTCCTGCAAACCTGTGTGGTCCAGTACATGTGCCATTGGAAAAACATATGAGGTCAGGGGTTAGCAATGGAGTGGAAGATGGAAGTCTACATCAGACAGAACTTTGATAAATACAGAATCACTGGATAAAAGTCCCCAATAGTATTACACATAGTAAGATAGAGGGAAACTGGGTCCCATGTCAGAAACCACAGTAGCCTCACAACATGCCTTGGTCTGACAGAGGAGCACCGTGCATGAACTGTGGCCAATGCCTGGTACAGAGAGGGCTTTAAATGGCAGATTCACTGTGAGCTCATTACTTCTGGGAGTGTCTGTCTGTCTGCATGTGTAAGGCATGTATGCATATGTGTTGGCTAGTTCACAGTGGTGTGTTTTCCTGTTTGGAACAACAGTGCAAGAGGGGTGAGAGGGGACCTGATTGAGGGTAATAAAACTGACCCATGAGAAGAACTTGGCAAGACTGTTCCACAAAATGTTTTAAAAAATGTGAATTGTGGGTTCAGTGCTAGGAGAAACATGAATGCTTCAGGTAATGAATAAATCTTGAGATGCTTTTGTACGAGTGGTACTTTCAAATTAAGAAAATACAGATTATTCAGTAAAGTTTCTGGGATAATTGGTTGTCTACTGCAGAGAAATAATTAATTTCCAATTGACAACTTAAAAAATTTAAGTATGTTGCATATATAATAATTAAAAATAGTTATAGAAATTTTAAAAGAAAATATAGGGCCTTGACGTATAGCACAGCTGCTAAGAGCGTGTTCTAGAGGAGTTGAGTTCAATTCTTAGCACTGATGTCACACCAAGGCCTTCTCCAGGGGATCTGGCACCTCTTACTTGCAAGGTGTTGTGCTGACATGCACACACCTACCCACAGACAGACACACACACAGACACACATACATGACTGGAGATGAAGTAATAATAACAAGAACATGTATTACAATGCGATTTTTAAATTTAGTTTTGAGAATATCTCCCTAACCCCAAATGCCATCAAAGACACAATTCAGAATTGACAGATTTAGACACTCAAATAAGCATAATGCCTTTTCAGTTATTGATAAAAAATGCCATAAGGAAGTCAGTAGACTAACCATAAACTTAAAGAAAATATTTGCATGGGGCTAAGAAGATAGTACATTGGGTACAATGCTTCCTACACAAGCACAATGATGGGAATTTGGATCTGCATCCCTCACGTCAGTGCTGGTGGACATGACAACCTGCCTGCAAAACCATTGCAATCCCAGCATATGATTCCAGCACCCAGCAGAGATGGGGGACTCTCCAGAGCAAGCCGGCTTGCTGGACTAGCTGAGTTCTGGATTTAGGTGAGAGACCCTGCGTCAGCATATAAAGTAGAGAACAATAAATATGAATGCACAAACACCACACACATGCACGCACACATGCGCACACATGCACACAAAGGTAAATATTTGTAACTGAAAGTGTTGTTGAGTGGTCTGATATATATATATGTTTGTATGCATGTATATACATACACACACACACACACATATGTATAAAGATATTCGACACAGTAATTTAACTGTACACCCTGAAGGAAAACCAAAGGAACACAGTTTGCACAGAAGACTCTTGCTCAACAATCAAGTTAGTGACTCCCAGACTCCGTGAAAACAATAGGAAACTTTCTGTTTCTAGAGGCAAACAGCAGAGATTTATAGTATGTGGCTGTGAACTGAGACTGATGTTGGTGGAGGACTATGTGAGTAATGTACATGTCCTTTTACTCCACGGTAGTTTCTAGAGACTGCTCTGGGTAAACGAGGCTGGAAAGCGTCGAGAGCTTTTGCACCGTTCTTAGCAATTGGGATAACTGGACAGAACACAATAACCAAGCGTGTGGGACTTACAGGGTCTGTTATGGTGCATGCTCGCTCTCTTTCCCTCTTTCTTTCTCTGTGTGTGCACGTGCATGCACATAAGTGTGTGTATGTTTATATCAGTGTAAGCATGCATGGTGCATGTGTGAAGGTCAGACACAGCCTCATGTTTTGGTCCTCGCCTTCTGCCTTGTTTGAGACAGGGTCTCTTTTTTGTCACTGCATACGCCAGACTACCTGGCCCATGACCCTCCAGGGATTTGCCTCTCTCTGTTTCTCTTCTCTCTCTAGGAGTTTTAGAATTACAGACATGGGATACCATGCCCAGTTTTGTGTAGGTTCTGGGAAATCCTAGCTCTAGTCCTCACACTGATGCAGTAAGTGCTTTTGTCACTGAGCCATCTACCTAGTCCTGTCGTGGTCCTTTAGTACCAGAAAAAAAAAAACACCACGTAGTTCTGTATTCACAAATGTGGAGCAAGGAGGATGGGGCAAGGAAATGTCCATTCTAAAAGTTCTGATGGCTGATGTCTAGGCTTGGATTTGCGTGGATAGTCAGTGAGAGGTGTGTGTTAGCTGGTGGGGAGAAATGAATTAAACTGACTCTGAGTTCGTATATTGTTATGTAACGAATATGCCCCAAATGTACTTCTTTAAAAATCCATATCTTTGGCTTATTAGCATTGTGCATTTACAAGTATTTACTTGGCACTTAGTAACCCATTATCAAATTGGTGTTGGCCTATGATTTAGGCAACAAAATAGTTTTCAGAAGACATTGTACACTACACAGCTTTTATAAACTGCAGGAGAATAATGTGTCATAATTATGACTTTTAGGGCTCACAGAAAGTACACGTAGAAGAGTGTTTTATGAGCCTACCAGTTCAATATGAAACAGAGAACTTCGCATTTTCTAGTATGACATTATGGAGCCAAAGTTTCTCTGTCATTTGGTTCGTATTTGGTACAATGGTGACTTCATGTGTTCGTATGCAAGGGATGTAAAAAGTAAGGAGTTCTGGAATCTCTCAAACACATGGATCAGCACTTAACTTTCAGACAGAGCAACCTTCAGCGTTGTTTGGGGCTATAGTCCTTTTATAGATCTAATATGGTCACTTCCGTCTCTCAGTGTGCCTGGCTTGGGGGTTGATTTGCCAATGCTGGTTTCATCACCAAGCTATAGCAGGAGTTACAAATCTTGATTTAAAGCGTAGTTTTTCTTTTTCTCTCAGGCTTAATATTTTGGAGTTGTTAAAGCCATTTATCATTTCACATCCCGCTTTAAAATTGAGATATTTTTCACAGCTGTGCATGCTGTGTGTACTTAGCGTAGCACTCGCGATTGCGGTTCTTAATCTATTTAATTATTACTGAGTTGCTTATTTTTAATGTTTACTCCATGCCTTTTTCCCCTGGGGGGAGATTGTTTACCCTTTTTTATCATTTTCCCCATTTCTATCCATTCCTCATCTTAGGATTCCCCACCATCTGAGGCCCGGCCATAGTCCTACGTGATTTCTCAGCAGCTTGCGAACCCCAGCCCGCGCCCTGCCAGCCATAATGGGGACGGCTCAGGTACCGTGCGATCTCACTCTTTTTCTTTCCTTCCTGTGTTTGTCCTAAGCATTTCCTCATTGCCTGCTACGACAGGGCCTCTGTCCCAGGAGGGGGGTAAAGGATGATGGACCGAAGTCCAGCTGCCAAAGGACTCTATGCTAGCGAGGAGCTGGTGAGCCAAGGATGTCTGTAATGACATCATAGCATGTCCCTAAACCTCCAGGTGCTTCGGGCTGTGTTTTCTAGGCAAATTGATGTGCATTTCTGACATTCACAGAAACTCAGTGGGTTTTTCTTTCTTTTTTTTTTTTGGTGATAATTAAGTAAGGGCCAAGAGAATGTTGACATTGGTTGGTGAGGCCCCTCCACAGCATCTGCTACTTTGTGTTGCCTGCTGGCCTGTGGGTTGGTCCATTCAGGAGAGCTGAGTATGTAGAAATGACAGGGAGCTAAATATAGGTTCCTACTGGTTTTACAAAAGCTGTTCTGTGGGATCTGGTGGCTGTGCTGGTGTGTGTGTGTGTGTGTGTGTGTGTGTGTACGTGCGCGCGTGTGTGTAAAGTAAGTGATGTTCTGCATCTATAGAGATGGCTTTTGGTCAGACAGGAAAACAGCTTTCAAACGATAACAGCCTTTCTCCTACTGCTGACTTTAGTGCTCCATCTTGGGGCAACCCAAGGAACCCCTAGAAACATGACCCACTTCTCAGATGTCTGGAATGTAGTTGAGGGCAGAGTCGTAGTTTTTGTGGCTCCTCAGTGCCAAGGAAGAGATCAGAGAGCCAGCGAGTCTCCACGGGAGAGGCATTTCCTTTCGCTTGTCAAGGGGAAGTGGTGATTAGGCACAATGTAATCTTATTTCTTGCTTCAGAAGAGATTTAGATGGATGAGAGATGTCCCCTTTTTGGATGGATCCTTGTTGCCACTGCTATCCTGACTGATAATCTCTTTCCTTTTCTCTGGTGGCAGACATTCTTGACACAGGGATCAAATATTTTCCTTACTGATTTCACAGTCTGAGGAGCTGGGGTTGACCTCAAGCTGTAAAGTCAGTCTCCACAGCCAGAGCACTTGCTGGGCTCCTCAGCTGGGATGTTGGAAGGTTTGCAAAGAGGCTTGGAAGTGGTGTGCGGCAGGCTCTGTCTCTCTGTCTCTGTCTCCGTCTCTGCTTGTGCGTCCCTCTCTCCCTCCCATCTCATGCTGCCAAGACCAACCAGAGCTTTTCAGGAAGGCTTCCCAATACTAAACACAATTCAGCAGCTGGTTTAGCCAGAAAAGAAACTCATTAAAAAGAAACTGGCATTCCAGGCATCACTCACAACACCAGATAAAGTAGCTCTGCATGGAGCTTAGTCCTGGGCTCATTTCCTGTGGCAAAGGCGTGTGGGAGACAGGGCAGTCAATGCCTGCCTCCAGCTGCCAGAAAGGCTGGAAAAACCTTTCTGTTGTTCACATTCATTTTTCATTAATACCCTGTGAGGGGTTTACAGGTGGCGTGGGGGAAGCCCTCAGTGGTATAGAGATGAATAAAATAAATAAAAATGAAGAAGAAGCTTAGGGGGTTGGCTTAGAAGAGCAAGGCAATCACTAGGCACATGACCTCGAGATCACTGAAGGCTGTGCATCTCCCGAACCGCCCCCCCCTTTCTTCCTCAGACTTTCAAGTGACTTCCTTTGTCTTCAAGAGGGCTCCCCAATGGTACTAATTCTAGCCTAAACCCTGGTAAAGGGTTGGGGGGAGGAGGCAGGCTTGTGTTCCTTTTCCTGATTTGCAGCATTGGCTCTGCAGCCCCAGGACTCAGTGCAGAGGAAAGCATTGCCGGTGATCCCCCTGGGAAACAGGGTGCACCTGGGCTTCGTTTTCGTGAATGAATACAGGGGTGATACAGCATACAGATGCTGGGAGAGCTATCGTTGTTGAGATCTTTGCTGCTGTGGTATTGCTGATCTCTCTCTCTCTCTCTCTCTCTCTCTCTCTGTGTGTGTGTGTGTGTGTGTGTGTGTTTTAAAGGGAGGTGGTGAACTTTGATGATAAAACCATTTTGTTGCTGCTTGTGTTTAGTTTTTGAGACCCTGGGGTCCTGTGGTTCCTGTAGCTGGACCTCATCTCCATGCTAGCCGGATTCACTGGGCTGTCCAGAATCTCCCAGGGCTTTTCCTCCTTAGAAAGTCAGACCCTGAAGCAGCCGAGCATCAGGGTGGGGCAGTGGAGGCAGGAATCTGAAGATTCTGTCTGTCTCTTGGTTCCTGCATCCCTCCCTTCTTCCTGTTGTAGGAGAAATAGCCCCATTCTGTAGGGTTTTTGGACCAGTTCTTAGCATTCCATAGGAATCTGAGTAGGGAAGGAGCTGCTTCTCCAAGGATCATTGAATGGCCTGGTGGGACCTGCCCCTACTGCAGCATCTTGGGATGGCCCACTGTAGGATTCCCAGCTAATGTTGGCATGATTCCTGGCCTCATTTAGGATCGAGATGTCCTGTTAGAGCCACAAGTGATCATAAAGATGTGGGGTGAGTATCTGGTCTATACATGTGGATCAGGTTTTGGTGTTACGAGACTTTTCTGACAGCAAGCTGTCCCCCTGGCATCCCTGTCCTTTCAAGATTCTACCCTGTAGCTGGGCTTGGAAGACCAGGGGTGAGAAGTCATTGCCTGGCCTCTGATCCACTGTAAGGAGTTGTCTAGAATTTTCCCTGGTCCTGTTCTTCCTGTCTGTGTGGAATCTATGGTGACATGGGTCTTCTCTCCCTGCCCTTCATCATTCTGTGGATTACTGACTGTTCGTCTTCCCAATGAACCAGCTCTTACTCCATTGATTTTCATTGTTGATTTTATATTCTCTGCTCAGCTGATGATGTTGTTGCTGGTCTTGATTTATTCCTTTCTTCTACTTTCCTTTGGTTTTAATTCATTCTTCATTTAAAAAAAATTCCGAAGGTTAAAAATTCAGTAATTGATTTGGATCTTGGTGTCTTTTCCAAAGAGGCCCCAAGTTCTGTAGACTTATCTTTGGTTTTCTACTTTGTTGGGTGTTAGATATTTTTGTATTTCCATAAATACTTTAGAGAGGTGGCAAAGCTGCTTGGAAACAGTCTCATCTCTTTGCATTTTGTGGGGTAGGATCTGCTGAAGCCCTTCTCGTTCCCCGTGATGCTGCTGGTCCTCACCCCCTCAGCCTCCATCCAGGCTCTGGGGTGTGGGCTTCACTTAGCTACTGCTGTTCCTTCTGTTTTCTGGTCTCAGGGTGACCCTCCTTCTTACTGGATGGTATATTCTTGTTTTCCAGCAATGTTTGGGACCTGTCCTTACTTATTAAAGCCTCATTCATTTGCATGGATGTAAGGAAGGAGAGGAAGCCAAGATGGGTGTCCCATTGTCCTGTGTCCAGCCTACCTTTCTTATTAAATGTTTTCTTAGAAAGACTCAGTCCTTCTGTTCTCTCTCATTAGAGAGAATATGGTTTAGAACTGTGACAGGATGTCTCCAGGTCTTCTATATTGTTTTTGTTTTTTGTTTTTCCCTCCAGGCAGCACTGGTATGTGTTTGGAGACATTTGTGCTTAGCATTCTGGAGAGAGTTCACTACTAGTGCCCTGTAAGGAGAGGTCAGGGATGCCAAGAATGACCTGTGGCACACAGGATGGCTCCAAAGTAGAGCGTTAGCAGGACCAAAATGTGAAAGACATAACCTCTGATTCTCCAGCGTTCCCCAGGTCCACACAAGGACAATGAGGAATAATGTAACCCTGGCAGAGCATTGTTTATATTCAGTGTTGATGTTCTCTTCCCCTGGAAATGATTGTCACAAGTTTGCATGCAGGGTCATTTAAATTAATTATAATTACAATGTACATTTGATATGGGGGAGTCTTTGAATCACCCTCTGAGACTGGTTGACACATTTGTGAGTTCATACTGCAGACCCCCACCAGTGATGTTGTAGTCACACCCTATGGGGATTGGGATAGTAAGCAAGCTCCACTGTGCTGGCCTCTGCGGGATTTTGTCTCATTTAGAGGAAGATATTACAGGAGCGATTCTCAGCATTGAGTGCAGGCCAAATCACAAATATCCCCGAGGAGTGAAATACAACTTATTTTGTAAATGTAGTGTCTAGTCTTTAAGGTAAATGTGAATAGAGTCGGATTGATCAGAGATTACATAGACGAGAAACTGAGCAGGACTCATTTATTATTCCAGATGTGCCAATGTACTGAATTCGAGTCCAAAAAAACAATCTAGACTATAGCTTTGTTTGTTTCTGTTGCGTGGAAAAAAATCTTTTCTTTCTTTCTTTCTTTCTTTCTTTTTTTTTTTTGTTAGGGTTTGGAGAAAGTCCTCTGGTTCTTAAAATTTGTTTAACTTTGGCAAACTTGGTTGTTTTCTTTGTTGATCTCATATCCAGTTTGGCAGCACTGGCTAAGCAGGGGAAACTGGCTGTGCCTTCCTTGCCCATGCATCTCCTAATGGAAACCTTGCAGGCTTAGCCGTAGCTAACACTGGCAGGGGTTTCTGATAGCTCAGTGGGGTGTGGAGGTACAGCCATGACCAGGACTTGATCAGCATGTGGAAATGCAGATTCTGAGGTAGGTCCCTGGGCATTTCCTGTTCGATGGTGTCAGAGTTTACACCGCCATGTTCTCGCATAGCTGCATGTTGATGAGCCATTACCTCAGCTCCTACTCTTTGCTGCCCTCAGATTTATATTGTCTTCCTACAAGGATCTCTGGGCTCTGGCACAGTAGCACCATTGCTTTGGCAATCAGCTCTTGCTCTTTCACTTGCAGCAAGTCAGGAAGTCCATGTCCCTCTGAAAAAGACAATGGACACACCAGTTGCAGAAGTGTCTTCCATCAGGCTGACCCACGCTTTCCTTGTAGAATTGTAGAAGTCACTGTGAATCCACACACTAATTGTCCGTTTATGAGCATGGTCTGGGGAGATGGCTCAGTGGCTAAGAGGATGCAACTCTCCCAGAGGACCTGAGTTCAGCTCCTGGTTCCTGTGTCAGGTTGCTCAG